GGTAGAGTTAAAAAATATTTTTTCTTATTTATACCCCATACTACCGTACAAATTTTCAGATGATCAAAATTTTTCATTCTTTTTTTTTGCAATTTAACAAGTACTACAACAAAGACTGACACACTCAGTTGTCATTAAAAAAAATACCAATCAACAAAACATGTGAAAATGCTTAAAACCCTTGAAAATAGTAAATGGTGACACGAAACTGCCTGACTAGATATGTTACTGACACTTAAAAGATTTCTTCTAATGACACTTTAATATGTGTCTTCAGGATCAGAGACTCTAGCTTATCAAATTAACACTATGTTAAATCTGTCAGTTTAATAGCCATTCAATGTATAGAGCTTAATTTCCATTCACAAATTTCCACATCCTTCTTATTTAAACAGATCAGATTTCTATTTTTCTTTACATGTGAGTATTTTGATTTCAACAAGGAATTATTCTAAATAAACAACGGTAGTGAGTAGTTTGGTTTATGAATGACTTTTTAAACTTAGGTGAGAGGGAAGAATAAATTTTAGTTGTTCTCAATGGCTTGGTGTCTGTTGGAGAATTTGTCAAAGTAAACAGCATTGTTTTACAGACCAACTGGTACTTTTTTTATATAGTAGTACTGTATGACATCTGAAGTTTATCTATTTTAATAAGTTATCAAAATATTTAAAGTGCAATATAAAAGACAGAATATTAAGTTCAAACATAAATGTTTTAAAAAGAAATTGGGTTCAATTGCAAAACTTGGTCAGCACTGACATATGACCATAAATGTCAGTCTATTTATGCAAAGGCCAAACATACATTTTAGTTGGTTTTGTTTTGGTTTTTTTGCCTCCCTACCTTCCCTTCATGTCTACCCTTACACATTTTTGGTTCAGCAAAAATTTGAATCAAAAATTTAAGTCCAGTCATTTTTGGTAAAGCACTGAAGTCCTTAACTTTCCCCCTATAGTCTAGGTAAAACAGTGAAGTCCTTAACTTTCCCCCTATAGTCTAGGTAAAACAGTGAACATCTTTCTACCTACTTATATACACTATTTTTTCTGCCACAAATAATCTAGTGAATATATCTCACCTCACATTGATAAAATTGATGGAATTATTGATTCATTGTTGTTTGCTTAATGTCCAATGGCAAATATTTCAAGAAATTCAAAACAAGAACAAGTTAACGAAGAATTTAAGTAGCAAATGTTTTAAACTGGCAGAGAATATGGAATTCTACCTAAACACAGCATCTGATTAAGTGTCCCCATTTTGACAGGACATTTAACAGTATGAACAAACACTGGTTTTAATCAGAAGAAGATTATTTGAGGCATGTCAATTTAACATAAAACTTTGATGAATTTTAGTTAAAGTATGCGTTAACTAAAGCTGGTAGTGGTGATAGTGTTACAGTTATCAGGGGCAAATCCAGGATTTTAGGTTAGGAGTGGGCGCAAACTTAAACTTTCGCAGAGCGGAGAGAGTCGAAAAATTTTTTGAGATAAAAATTATCGAAATATTCTTGAGTCTCTTCAGATACTTTTTTAAGCTTAGGACAACCCATGCTTTGCAAATTTTAGGGGGGAGCGCACGCCCGCTACGCCCCCGCCTGAATCCGCCCCTGGTTATTTGTTCCCAGATTCTGATTAGGAAGACAGGATAGGATGAAATGCTAATGTCCTATCTTCCAACACTGTGCACAGTGCTCTCACATCTACAGTTCTCAGATTTTTCATCAACAATCATTATAGTGTTCTTCAGGCAATTTGCAACATAAGGGCAGATCAACATTTGATGGAAGTAATGCCCTTAAGGTTTTGAAAAATTAAAATATTATGGAATTCTGCAATCATGTAAGCTCTCATTGAAGTTTATGAAATGAATTGTCAAAAGTTTTAATCAGGAATATCTCTGATAAGTTAAAAAAATCAGGTCCAATCAATATTTGTTTAGACTTATGCCACTTGGCACTCTCTCAGACTATCAGTTTTACAGTTCTCTCAGGAGTAAATTAAATTTAATGTCAAAAATTTAACAACATCAGTAGCTTCAACCAGTTTGAATAACAGTGCTGACAAAAATTTGTAGGGAGTTATAATATGCCTTGGAATTCGGATGAAATTTATGTCAAAGGTTCACATCAGCAATATCTTTGAAATTATTGGGGGACTTATGAACTTTAGAAATGAAAATAATATGGAAAATCAGCATTGTAAGCACTCTCACACCTTTAATTCTTATTGGAGTTTAATGATATTTATGTCAAAGGTTTAAAACACAACATCTTCCACATGTTTGAAAATCAGATTTGATCGAATATTATTGGGGAAGTTTCTCCAGATTAACTTGAAAATCAATACACGTTGATTGATTATTTTCATGTGATTTATGCCTCATTTAAAATATTAGCATACTGTAAATTCAGAAATTATTGCGTGCATTTATTATTGCGATTTTTGAAAAATTAACAAAAATGCGAGGTTGACTATTGCGAATTTTGGAAAAGCTATGTACAGATATATGTAATTGATATCAGAATACAAGTTTTTATTATTGCGATACTCAAGTAGTCGCGTTATTCGCATTAATAAAAACCTCGCAATAATTTCTGAATTTACAGTATGTGATATAGAAAATTTCAGTATTTGAGAGGGGTATATTGGCTGCTCAGTAAAAATATTGAATTTTCTAGAATTTAATGATTTTTATTTTTGTCTGCAACAAATATTAGAGAATGTTAATCCAGCAATGACGTTGACTATTTTTATAAAACTTTATTTAAATTCATTTATCACAGAATAAGTTCAGCAATTATTCAACTTTATTTGGTGTATGGAATCATTGTAAGATGTACATGTCCATCTGGCAGGGGTTCTCTGACCTTGACCTCATTTTCATGGTTCATTGGTTAAAGTTTTCATGGTTGTGTCATTTTCTCTAATACTATAAGCAAAAGGTTAACTATATTTGGTGTATGGAATGATTGTTAGGTGTACATGTCTGTCTGCTAGATCTGACCTTGACCTCATTTAAATGGTTCATTGGTCAACCTTATGTTATCCAGGTAAGTTCTGTTTCTTAGATACTATAAGCAATAGTTTATTTTGTGTATAAAATGATTGTAAGGTGTACATGTCCATTTGGCAGGGTTTATCTGACCTTGACCTCATTTTCATGGTTCATTGGTGAAAGATAACTTATGATGGTTAGGTCATTTTTTCAGATACTGTAAGCAAAAGGTGAACTATATTTGGTGTATGGAATAATTGTAAGGTGTAAATGTCTGTCTGTCATGTTCATCTAACCCGGACCTCATTTTCTTTATTCATTGGTGACAACTTGAAGTTTTTGTTGTAAGATGTTTATCTCAGATACTTTTAGAAATAGGTCAATTACATTTGATGTATGGAATGATTGTAAGATTTACATGTCTGGCAAGGTCTGTTTTTCATATACTTTAAGCAATAAGTGGACTTTATTTTGTTTATGGAATGATTGTTAGTTGTATATATATACATGTTCATCAGGCAGGGTTAATCTAACCTTGACCTTATTTTCATGGTTCATCAGTCAAAAATAACTTTTCATGGTTGTCATTTTCTCAGATACTATAAGCAAAAGCTTAACTATATTTGAGGTATAAAATGATTGTCAGGTTCATCTGACCTTGACCACATTTTCTTTGTTCATTGGTCCAACTTGAAGTATATGTTGGAAGATGTGTATAAATTCTCAGATACTATCAAAAATAGCAGTCAATCATATTTGGTGTATGAAATGATTGTTAGATTTACATGTCATTCTGCCAGGATTTGTCTGACCTTGTCATTTTAATGGTTCATTGGTCAACCATAAGTTTCAATGGTAAGGACTGTTTTCATATAATCTAAGCAATAGGTAGACTTTGTTTGGTGTATGGAATTATTGTTAGTTGTTCATGTCAATCTGGCAGAGAACTTCTAACCTTGACCTCATTTTCATGGTTCATTGGTTAAGGATAAGTTTTCATGGTTAGATCATGTTTGCAGAAACTATATTAGCAATAGGTTAACTATATTTGGTGTATGAAATGATTGTTAGTTGTACATGTTCATCGGGCAGGGTTCATCTAACCTTGACCTCATTTTCATGTTCATTGGTTAAAAAGAAATTGTCATGGTTATGTCATTTTCTGAGACACTACAGCATTAGCAATAATATGCACAATATATTTAAGGGTAGGAATGTCCTTTACCCTCAAGTGTCAAATACTTCACCTTTAGTGTCAAATACTTTTCCTTTAGTGTCAAATACTTTACCTTTAGTGTCAAATAAGCCAAAAGTTTTAATATTCATGTATCACTTTATATTTTTAAGCAAACTTGGTGTCAAACAGAGTAAAACCTTTATTGTAAATAAAATTGTAACAAAAGTTTCATCATCTAATCCTTACATGGATTACCCCTTATCCCCCCCATATTTGCCCATTAAGTTCTCATTAGTACTGACGTTCCTTTTTTGACTAAATGTATAAGAACACATTATTTTACTTTACAGTTTAAATAACTTAAGCCAGAAATGGAAAAATTAATCTTCGAAGTTTTTTTGTTTTTTCATCTTTGATACTTAGATACCTGAAGTGATTGTGAAACAGATTATTTAATGAATTTCTGTTGTAAAATTTGCTGTAATTTTTATTTTTTAACGTGTTAAATGGAAAAGTCTATATGGTTTTCATATAAATAAAAAAGATGTGTTTTTTCCTCTGTCAAATTGATATATGTCTCATGCTGTTTACTTACTAAAGTGCTGTTTTTACCTGAAGTTAATCCCTTATCACGACTGCTGCGATAGCGAAACAAGCCCTTTAAATTTTCATTCAAACAAATTTTGCTTGGGAAATCATCTACCTGTCACCTATTCTGATTGGTTGATTACCTGTCTGTCACAGACGCTGAAGACATTGACATCGTTGTTTTGTCAATCATGTAAATTACTTATATATACAGTAAATACACAAATGTACTTCAAGAAAACTTCCAGCAGTCTTCAGTTAAAAAAGAATTTTAAGCTTGTCTTTTAGATTATGAATCCTAAGCAGTTAAAGATAATACTATCATAAGTTATTTTTATGGCTGTAAAACGATAGAAAATAAATTCATCTTTACAAAGAATTATTGCTTTTGTCTGAATGGAGACTGTTTTAAAGTTTTTACTATTTAATATGTTTTTAAAGAAGTGACTGTTTTATATGGATAATTAAGATGCATTTATATACCTGGAGAAGTTCTGTTGCTCTCTTAGTCATTCCGTACATGGTAGGTCGTTTTAATATTACCTGTAGAAAATCACTTTTTTAATTCAATAATTTTTTACTTTTATATCATAAATGCAAACTTGGTATTTGCTTCAGTTGATGTTAATAGCTGTCTGTATTTATTTCAACTTTTTTTTTAGAAAATTTAGTGTGCAACTTTAAATGCCAATTTGACTTTTGGCTCAGCTCTGTGTATGTTTAAAACTGTCTGCAGTTTAAATATTTTTTCTAGAAAAAAAATAGTGTTAATGCAAGTGTAAATGCAAATTTGGCTTTTACATAAAATGTTAAATTAATAGCTGTCTGCAGTTTAATTATTAAATAAGTATATGTATATATGCTAGTTCATATTAACCTTAAATTACTTCCTAGAAATCTATTTTTCATTGCAAAAAATACTTGATGCAGGTGGTAGCTGAACATAAGAAGAATTCATTGATATACATATATAGTATCAGTCTTTTAAAACATTTACCTGAACCTTCATAATGCATGTAATAGTAATATCAATTGACAAGACTTTTATTGATAACGAGGTTCAACATGCATACCTAGTGCAACATCTTAGCCTTTAAGTAATTATAGATAAAGAACAGCAATTATTTAAACAATATTGTTGACAAAATATGATACTGTTCTGATTACAGGTGTCGATTTACTGTCACCAAAAAAGTCAGAGCAGATTAATACATATTTGTACATAATATCTTAATTGCTACCATAGGTATCGTCAACATTACATGTAAAAGTTAATTCTGATTGGATAACATTTGACATATCACAGCATTGATTAAAGGTTTGATGTCTTCTGACTGGTCTATATGTACCTGTATGTAGCATCACTTTTGAATATTGAGCATTTGAAATTTCACTCAATTTTTTTATTGCAAGAGAATGAGAGGAGACAGTAACTTGACATTTGCATGTATATTTTCAGGCATCAGTAGTTGCCATTGTCAATAACTGTAAACTGGCTCTGATGGCTTTCCAAAATAATGCACATTTAAGTTTGATTGATTTAGCTATACAGTTATCTCCTAATTTAGTGTTTGTATATAATGTCTCTGGTGTTATTCATTGTTTGACTAGGTATAATTTCACAACACTTTCATACTATAGACCATTCAATTGCAATGTCTGTCTGTCTGTGTATGTGGGTTTATTTTTTTATTATTTCTATTAAGGGGGGCTGGGGAGGAGATGGCTTAAGTATGTAAGAATGTTAGAAGGTAACCAGGCCTGCTCAAATCATTTTCCTGGATCTGGAAAAGGCCTTGTGCAAAACTAGCTTCCATAAGAAGGGGACATTTCTTGGTGAATAACTGTAATAGGCCTATATTGTTGTTCAGAGCACTAGTTGAGATATTTTTTAAAGAAGTACTAGACATATTAAAAAAGCACAAACAAAACTAGTTTCATAAGAAATAACTCAAAAACTGAAGATAATTTTGTATTTAACACCTGTCTCAATACACAGCATCTGTAAATTGTCAAAACTAATTTAGGTTTGTTTACATCCTTTTTTATATACCAAATGACTTGGTGTTGTGCTCTTAATTACCTTAACTGTAATGTTAGCTTCCTTTTGTAGTAAATATTGTGCACATTTTCAGTTGTAATTACATAACTGTAAAAAATAGTTACCTTTATATGAGGTAATTACCTTTCTGCACGTGCATGGTAAGATATCAATGTCTGTTTATTTACACTGAATATGTCAATTAAGATGGTCTTCATTTGCATAATTTTTATGGTATTAACAATAAAATATATAAAATTTCACATTTATAATGTGATGGTATGCACCTGAGAGGTAGTTTTTATGAAACCACATGTACGTTACACTTGATTGTTGTTAAGTTCCAAAGTATGAAAAATACAGCAATAAAACAGTTTTAACGGAACATTTAAAAAAAAGTTTCTTGTGTCTCAGTTTAAGTTCAAAAAGGTGATACTTGACATGAATATAAAGGAACACTTGTATTTTGTTTGTTGAGCAAAAAAGAGGATTAATGATTTGAATTGTATAGTGGTCATTTAAATTAAAAAGTCCTGGTTACCCATTCATCATTTTAGCCACTTGTTGCATGTATGACTCACAGATAAAATCAAGATAAAAATCAAACTAGGCCTTGGACAAAAAATATTAAGGTCATGGTACTAAAACCCAGTTTTTGTGACTTTTGAAGTTTTCAACATCAAAGCTTACTGAAGACATGGTTTAATAGGGTCATACCATATATTGTTGATGTTTTAGGTTTTTATTGTTGAACAAATTCAAGAAGGTCCTTTTTCAGATCCATATTTGATGACCTTAACTAGCATTGAAAATGGCAGCATGATTTTATTCATTGGACTTAATTCTATAGCATTTAAATTGAATTGACCCCAGTGGATAAGTGCTTTGGGTACATGGTTTTCAATTCCAAATATATATATGCATTTATTCCTTCTGCTACAAAGTATAAACCTATATTGACCAAACCTTGTTTAAATTTAGAACCTGTCTACCTTAATTTAAACCTTGACTAAACTTCATACCTGTCTAAACCAGATGTTAACTTAACTGAATCCCCATCCAAACAAAGCCTTCACTAAACTGGAAACCTGTCTAAGCCAGACCTTGGGCAACTGGAAACCTGCCGAAACCAAACTTTGACTACATTAAATCCATATCTTACCCAAACCTTGACTAAACTGGAAGCTTTCCTAAAGTAAACATTGAATCAACTGAAAACCTATCTAAACCATACATTAACTAAACTGGGTCCATATCTAAGCCAGACCTTGACCTAACTTTAAACCTGTCTAAACCAAACCTTGACTAAACTGGAAATCTGTCTAAACCAAACCTTGACTAAACAGGAATCTTGTCTGAACCAAACCTTGACTAAACAGGAATCTTGTCTTAACCAAACCTTGACTAAACAGGAATCTTGTCTAAACCAAACCTTGAATAAACAGCAATCTTGTCTGAACCAAACCTTGACTAATCAGGAATCTTGTCTAAACCAAACCTTGAAGACCTGTTGGTGACCTTCTGCTGTTGTCTGTTCTATGGTCGGGTTGTTGTCTCTTTGACACATTCCCCATTTCCATTCTCAATTTTACTTGACTAAACTAGAAAACTGTCTAAACCAAACCTTGACTAAACAGGAATCTTGTCTAAACCAAACCTTGACTAAACAGGAATCGTGTCTGAACCAAACCTTGACTAATCAAGAATCTTGTTTAAACCAAACCATGACTAAACTGGAAAACTGTTTAAACCAAATCTTGACTAAACCTGCCGAAACCAAACTTTGACTACATTAAATCCATATCTTACCCAAACCTTGACTAAACTGGAAGCTTTCCTAAAGTAAACATTGAATCAACTGAAAACCTATCTAAACCATACATTAACTAAACTGGGTCCATATCTAAGCCAGACCTTGACCTAACTTTAAACCTGTCTAAACCAAACCTTGACTAAACTGGAAATCTGTCTAAACCAAACCTTGAATCACTAGAAACATGTCTAAACAGATCAGACCGTTGGTTTTCCTGTTTGAATAGTTTTACACTAGTCATTTTTGGGGCCCTTTATAGCTTGCTGTTCGGTGTGAGCCAAGGCTCCGGGTTGAAGGCTGTACTTTGACCTATAATGGTTTATTTTTACAGGTTGTGACTTGGATGGAGAGTTGTCTCATTGGCACTCATACTGCATCTTCTTATATCTACTTAACTACATACACTGGACCTATAGCTAACCCAAACCTTGACTGAGCTGGAAACCTGCCTTAACCAAATTTTGACAAAAATGAAAACTTATCAAAACCAGACCTTGACTAAACTGGGTCTACATCTAAACCAAACATTGACTTAACTGCAAACGTGTCTAAACCAAACCTTGACTGAACTGGAAACATGTCAAAGCTGAACCTTGGCTAAACTGGGACCCTAGCTAAGCCTAACATAGACTAAACTGGCAACCTGTCGAAATGTGCCTAAACTAAACTTTGAATAAACTGAAACCTGCCTTAACCAAACCTTAACTAAACTGGGTTAGTATCTAAATAAACCTTGACTAACCTTAAACCTGTCAAAATATTACCTTGAGTAAACTGGATCTCTTTCTAAACCAAACCTGGACTAACATGAAACCTGTATAAACCAGACCTTGACTAAACTGGAAACCTGCCTAAACCAAATCTTGACTAAACTGGAAGTGTGCCGTAACTAAATTTTGAATAAATTGAAAACCTGCATAAACCAGACCTTAACTAAACTGGGTCCATATCTAAACCAAACCTTGACTTAACTTGAAACCTGTTTAAATCAGACCTTGACTAAACTGGAAACCTTCTTAACCAAATCTTGACTTAACTGGGACCCTTTAAAAGTGAAACCTGGACTAAACTGGAAATATTTATAAACTGGATCTGGACTTATGTGTTGACTCTCCCTATCTAAACAAAATCTGGACTATTATGTTTTCCTTTCTAAACCAAAACCTGGACTAGCTGGAAACCTGTCCAAACCCAACCTGGACTAAACTAGACACCGTCTAAACTAAATCTTGACTAAACTGGGACCCAGTCTAATCCAGACAATTGCTACAAAGTCTTTCATACCAATATCAATATATTTTGATCGTGTATCAACTGAACATTTGGCTTAACAGAACAAGTATACTGTTTCAACATAAAAAAGTATGAATAGAATTTGTTAACATCAATTCAACAGCAACCCAACAACACATATTACAAAAATTCGTCTGTAGGAAAGTTACAAACAAATTTCTTTACAATCAGATGATTGATTGATTGATGGTTGCTTAACCTCCAGTGTACAATCAGATGATGTAGACATTCTTAAGTAATACATCAATGGTAAAGATCTACTGAACTATTCACTTTTGATGTGTAATTGTAAGTGTCCTGTGGTTTGTCAGTTCAAATTAGGTGATATAGAATGAATTATCTCTCTTTTTGTTGTGCTTTGCAGTGCATTCTATAC